TCTGTCTGTTGGGTGGCTGATGTTTATACTGATCGTAAGGAGTAGACCGGGGGCGTGTGTGGTGTTGCCCTGCCTGGTCTCCGCTCTTTTTCCTCTCCCCCTTGGCGAGCAAAGGGGGGGGGGTGTACTCATATTCGTGCATGCCGTAGTCGTTAGACCATTGACCTCGCATCCCTACAAAGCCGGGACGGAGCACGCCGGGTTCTCACCGGACCAGGCTCTCACATCACCAAGCGCGAAGCGCCGTGAGATATTCGGCGAGTCGNTGGTTACCGCCAAAAAAAAAAAACGGGGGTAAAAAAAAACGGTAACCTGGTTGCCGAGTTCACGAAGTGAATTGGCTTGTTTTACAACGTCTTTGCCAAGCGACGAAAACCCAATCCCGATGGCAAACACCGGGGGGGGCGAGCAAAGGGAGTACGCAAAATAATAATGACAAATTTCGAAAGCATCGAGCAAAGGGTTTGGTGTACATTCGGGCAAATTTCCACCTTTTCTTCTTTCAAAGGGGGCACACTGTCTGGAATGTGGGATTGTTTTGCCCCAAGAACAAGAGCGGCGCGATTACTTTTCACAACACCACACTGCACCTCAAAGAAGCGAGAGGCAAAGCGCCAAACGGTGGCGGCAGTGGGGCGGCCGATCGTCAGCCCAGGCTCGATCGTCTTGTCTTCAGCAGGAACTGGATCACGAGGTCGCGGAAACTACGGAAGGGCCGACAGAGGCAGGTCGGATAGATACGAAGCGCCCACACAGCAGCCGTTCCGGGCCTTATGTGTGGAAGGCATCAGAACGCGGGACACATGAAGATCTCATCGCAGTTAGTCTCGACCTGAATCCTTATGGATTTGATCACTTCTGCGCTCATTGCGATCAATCGGAGGAGAGGCTCGAGCGGCGAGTAACTTACGATAGCCACGGCACAGTGGGCAACAGAGGCGTGAGTGGGAAAGAGCCGAGTTCAAGCCGTGGTAGCTCCCAGAATCCATACGTGAGCTCACAAGTAGCAGCCGCAGCCGCAGCAGCAGCAGCGGCAGCATCCGCTGGAACTGGAGTCCCCCACGCAGCAGGAGCAGAAGTAGCAGCAACACCGTCGGGTGGCATTTCTGAAGGTAGAGGGGCGGCGACGTCGGCGGCGGCGGGGGCGCCTAGGATATTTTCATCATGTTGTAATTCCGGTCAAGTTTCTAGACTACACGGCAGACGGTTACAGCTGGTGCCGGATCTTCAGCCGATGACCTGCGTGGCGTGGGCGCCGGTGACCCTTGCGGCGTGGGCGCATCGTCGTCAGCAGCCAGTAGATATTCGGAGGAAGAACCCATGGACGAAGATGAAGAGTGCGTCGACGGAGAAGGAGCGCCGGAGGGAGAGGCAAAGGAGGGAGATCGGGAGCGATGGATGAATGTCGAGTTACAAACTGCCATCGCGAAACAAGCGAGTATGGTCTTGGACACTCTCCCCAAGATAGCCGGCAACGGCACGCTTACTCCACCACAGTGGATGAAGGAGCGGCATCTGCCGCCCAAGTACGTAGCGGCAGCGTTTGATCGACGTTTCCCTGACGCCCCGATATGCCGGCCCGCAGACAGCCCGGGGAAGCGCGCCGCTATGGCGATGAAAGCGGCGAAAGTGACACCAGCGATTGAGTACCCGGGTCGAGAAGGGAGAGATCATGGATGTGCTTTTGAAGGAGCCGGCCATGGCCGTTTTCGCGACGACACAAGTTGTGTTCGCTCTCTACGTGCACGAGGTGGTCTTCTTCGAAGAATTGGTCGGCATTCCAGCTATCCAGGCAAGTGCATGAATGAGCGAAGGAGCCGATGACGGTACCCGACCCTTTTGGCCTTTGTAAGATGTTGCGCGTGCGTGCCGAAGGTGCGTGCTGAAAGTTGAAAAATAAACACTAAAGTCGTCGCACATTCAAATTGTTGTTGTGACTATTTAGTTTTCTGTTGATAATAGTGCATTTTGGTTGACACGGATTACAGTGTTGCGCACGCTCATGATCTATCGGCTCATGCCAATGTCGACGTTGTTGGTCGGTATGCCCCCCTCCCTTCCGCTGCGGCAAACCCACAACTCTTGTTTGAAGTTTGCATGACGGGAACCTTCAGAAGTTCTGACAGAAAGCGCCGAACTCTGTTTTGTTGGTGGGAAGTTTTGCTCTTGATGAGACCTGCCGCCGCCGCACTCAAGAGTCTCTGTCAGTGATTAGCCCTCTCACCTCATACAAGGGACACCGCCTGAACAGAAACGAGCATCGGAACAAGGCCTGACGTAAAGAGCCCTCTCCCCCTGTGTCGATTTCTTTTCAGGCGACAACCCCCGGCGGGGCGAAGGGAGTCAGGATGATCTGTCCAGGATGCNGTACGCTCATGATCTATCGGCTCATGCCAATGTCGACGTTGTCGGTTGGTATGCCCCCCTCCCTTCCGCTGCGGCAAGCCCACAACTCTTGTTTGANGTCCAGGATGCAAATAGAATTCGGAAGTGAAACCTCCTGGAGTATCAGGGCATGACTTCCCAAATGCGGGTGGTCAAAAGGCAAGCAGAACGTTTGCGGTATGAACTTGTTTTTCGACTTGATTTCCTGTTTGTTTTGGTTTGCTGCTGGTTGTTGTCTCTGTTGCTTGTGAGCCGTCCGTTTATCTCGGTAGTCCCGGAAGAGTCATACAACATGCGCGCTTAGTCTTTGCGCCCTTCTCATTTCCGACACGTTCTGAATGCCGTCTTTGTCCGTATTCTTCTCTTTGTAGTTGGCCCTCTTTTTACGGCAGATACGCGCGGTACCCGACGTTGGCAGGGTGGNTACAACATGCGCGCTTAGTCTTTGCGCCCTTCTCATTTCCGACACGTTCTGAATGCCGTCTTTGTCCGTATTCTTCTCTTTGTAGTTGGCCCTCTTTTTACGGCAGATACGCGCGGTACCCGACGTTGGCAGGGTGGTGGTTCCGTTGGCGGGCAGGTATTCCTGCACGGCCTCAGAGTGCCCTCTCGTCTTGGAAAGTGCCAAGAAGGCGGCCAACACAAAAAAGTGGTCATTGCGGATGACGGGTGGGACGAGCCCACCATCCGCGAGCATTGGCCAAACGGCGCTTCCTTTACCACAATGGGCGACAGGTACGGTGATGATTTTATTTAGGCGTGCAGTGTTCAGCTTCAATCTTGGCATCGTATTGCAGTGCGAAAATTACACGCACAAGGATCGCCTATTCTTGCATGTTCTCGCTGGGTCACTTGACCACTGAAATTGGGCAGGTACATGCAGTTGCTACCTGAGGAGATTGTCTCGCGATTGCCTTTTCGCTACTTTAGGCAAAATGGCACGTCAGAGACTCTACTGGACCAAGTGAGGGCGACGGAGGGCGATCTGCAGGTGCAACCCTAAGCTGAAAGCGGTTCCGTTTCTTTTCGATCGTGATGTGTTTGGGCAGCTGGGTTGCACTCTGCTTGTCCTCCTTGATTTTCGCTGTGATAAGAGTGGCTCGACTGAAAACTCGTTGGTCATCCGCCCCATGTGTTTGCTGTTGGTTGCTCCACTGAACATGAAGACATATCGCAGGATCCTGGTCGCAGGCGAGCAAGGCGGAGAGCTACGAGAAATGCATTGGTGCATCCGGTTTTGCGTTCTGTCGTCATCCACAGGACAAGGAGCACATGCAACGCGAATCCACTCGCATGGGGGGCAGTTCCTGTGCATGGATGACACGTGGCGCATCGGTTTGAGGGTCATTGATTCTCCGGACTGCCTATTTTTCCTGATGGGGGAGGACGCCAAGGTTCACGCGTACGGAGCTGTGCAAAGTGAAAGGAAGGAGGAAATATACCTCCTTCTGAAGAGGTGCACTATCGTCAAATTTGATATCGGCGAGATTTATCGCGGGACTGTTCCCTTAGGACATACGCGAAAACAACTGTCGGCGAAATTATCGCAAAATGCCTTTGTCGAGAGCTGCGTTGAGTATCGTAAAGCATCATATGTGTGTGGTAGCGAAAGATGCCACCTTTAGTCCGCTCTTACTCGTCCTCATCACCCGCACAACGCCGCAGGTACGCGGAGTGACGGAGGAGGAACGGCACGCTGCTCGCTCTGGAGTGGTTGTACGACGACCTCTGCTGTAGAGGGGCTGATGATGTCAGGGGTGGATACGATAGTCAGGACGTCCTCTGCTTGGACTTCTACTTCGACACCGCCGCCGGCATCCAAGCGCGCCAGAGGGGACAGAGATAGAGCGAGTGCAAGAGTCGCTAGCGGGGTGCCTTTGAAGCTTGAACAGATCAGCACCCTCACGGACGCAGTCGCGATCGCCTACATGAAAGCCATAGGGCTGAAGTTGACATGCAACGTTGCACTCAAGCAGAAGAAACTACAGGACTTTTTCGAAAGCAACAATATTTCAGAGTACAGGTACTCTCCTTCAAGGCCTGAGACCTCGCCCGCGCCCGCTGTAGGACCCGCCAGTGGGCACATGTCAATCTGAGGGTTGTGGACTCGAAATATCTGCTGATGTTGAGTTGTTGTAGATATATTTATCGGCGGAACCTGCTCTTTCTCCACCTTTGAGCCAGATAATTGAGTATTATTTACACCCGTAGCCATTTGGCTCACCCTGCTGGGGTCCGGGGGAGAACCTCATACGGGGTACCAGATTTTGCACCCATACAGGGTGCCATATGGCAAGGTGTCCCCAGGGTTACCACCTTGACAAGGTGTCGCTTAGGTTATCACCTTGACAAGGCCGGGGTGTCCTGGTACCTTGTCAGGGCAAGGCCTACCAACCATGGCAGGGTGAGGCCGGATGTGCACCTTGGGGGGGGTGGTTTTTCGAAACGGTTTCATTTTCTCTGTTTCCTACGATTACAGTGACTCCCGCAGCACCGGCTACATTTTTGATACGCAAACAGGAAACACGAAGGATGACGAAGTACACACCGGACTATTGACCGACAGGAACAGCCGGCGCTAGTATCAAATCCATGACACACCGATCCATCTGTCCGAAGATTCTCCCTCATTCAACGCATCTCGACCCTCCGTACACAAAACAGCGAAGAGTACCTAGTGATTCAATACCCTCTCCGTTTCGTATATGCATGACGTGCACAACACTACTCTATTCGAGAGCTACGCGAGACATGCATCAAAGGTATACAGGAAAAGCAAAAAGCATAATCCGACACTCACTCTGGGACGTGACGCCATAAGAAACGACGTGGACTGTGGACGCATTCAACGACCCCCATTGGAGAGAAGCAAAAACATAATAGACAAGACCGCAAACGCAATGTGTGGGACGCGCCAAGCGCCACCCCAACAGCATATTTTACTCGACCAAAGGTATCACCACATCATCATGATCACCAAGGTATAGTACAAACTGATGTCATCTAACAAGACTACTGCAGACATGTACCCGCCCAGAGATCCACCTAGGTATCAATAACAAGCCCCCCCCCGAAGCCGGCGAAGGCTCCCGCCGTCGGTCACTGACAGACGCGAGAAAAGGCCCCGCCACCAACCGCCTACTCACTAAAATGCAAAGTAGATCACACAGAAAAAAAAAAGCAACAGACGAACGCTGCCGTGTTGACCATGCAGGCCACAGCGCAACAACCTACATCCTGAGCAACATGCATCATCCACCATCACCACGAACGTCGCGCAGGTCTCCATTGCGCGACGTGATACGCCGCCGGTGTATACAAGAAATGTAGCTCCGACGCATCCAAAATAATCATACAGAAAGAGCGCAGAGGTGAGGTCGGGTGTCCAGGATGATGCCATCCCGCGCGACAGGGCGTGGATATCTTAACTGCATCAACCCCCTGGGGTACATGAGACAACCCAGTAGTGAAGCTTTGTGAGAGCCGACACATTAACTCCGCGCAAAGCAATACCAGCAGCAACTTCGAGGATAATGTCTCCCCCCTTCGAAACCCACTCCAAAACTTGTCAGGCATACTTGTGTGGAGACAAAAGCTGCCGGCGCCCTTCGACCGCCCCGACGATGTTATCGTCGAGGCGAGCGACCTGGAGGAGTACCTCAACAACATGTCGCCCTGAACTTAGGGCGACATGTGGAGGTGTTCCTCGAGGTCGCTCGCCTCGCCGATAACATCGTCGGGGCGGTCGAAGGGCGTCTCGCGAATCAGTGTCTCCTCGTCGCCCTCGTTCGAGACCTCGGGGCCAGAGAGGTCGGTCTTGCCGCCTGCGTTCGTTTGTCGAACGGAAAAGACACGCGAACGCGATAACGTCATGATCACAAGACGTCAAGATGAATGCGAGGATGACGGTCTCTTTGAGGACAGGGCTTTCAGTTTGACGAATAGGGGGGGTCCCTACCCTACATTTTGTATCGATCTAGTTTGAACGCCGAATGAGCTGTATTGAGGATATGACAAACAAAATACGGCCGNAGACCTCGGGGCCAGAGAGGTCGGTCTTGCCGCCTGCGTTCGTTTGTCGAACGGAAAAGACACGCGAACGCGATAACGTCATGATCACAAGACGTCAAGATGAATGCGAGGATGACGGTCTCTTTGAGGACAGGGCTTTCAGTTTGACGAATAGGGGGGGTCCCTACCCTACATTTTGTATCGATCTAGTTTGAACGCCGAATGAGCTGTATTGAGGATATGACAAACAAAATACGGCCGGGTGGGAAAAGCTTGCCTGCGAACGGCGCGATGTGGGCGACGATGCTCTTCTTCGTGAAGTCCTTCTTCGGGACGCGCAGGATGGGTTCGGCGAAGCGGAACTGGCCCGTGGCGAAGTTAAACAGGTAGTACCACAAGCTACACGAGGAACACAGCGCGAGCACAGAAAGGAAGCTGTGAGAACACACGCTGCGTGATAGATGGTGGGTGAGTTGCGGCGAAGATTTTGGCAATCTTGCTGCCAGTTGGTTCCGCCGTGCGCGTCTGGTACACACAAAAAACAAGCACCGATGCGCACGCCTTCTCAACAAGTCCTCCACAACATTAGTGGTCAGTGAGCCTCTAGCAGCTTACGAGGCTGCATGGACAGGACCGTCTGTGGAATATCGAAGTGCACTGACGCACTCGCAACGGCTCTACGTTCATACGAAGGAGAAGGTATTCCCGTGGTGCAGTCAATCGCACCCGGAAAAAAAAATATCCGTCAAACTCAATTAAATCGACTCGCGCATTCTGGCACTCCCTAGCCTTCTTGGTCTTAAAGCCTCCGTTCATGCGGTGAGCGAAGGCCTGCACCCGCCGCTCCGCGAGGCACTGGTAGGTCTCCACCTCCCCGGCGGGCTCCACCTCCAGGGTTTCCGCATCGCAGAGCATGTGCAGGACCAGCGGCACTGCGACCTGTTGGCGCCGGTCGGGCAAAAGGGGTGGGCGCATACTAGCAGGCTTTAGATTAAATAGGAAAGATTGCCCCAAGAAATCATGGACTCTCGAGAGTGTGGGGGAGGCAATTGAGGTACTTAGCTACATTTCGGACTCAACGAACCTAAAGCGGATGGTACTATAATAGAAACACTTCCGGGTTTCTCACTTTCCTCGTAAACTGCTTGGGGAGTGTTTCGCGTCCCCCGTAGACGTGGAACGCCTTGAGGTGACCCTTTCCGGTGGCCCGCCGCGCGGCAGAAACCGGGAAGTCCAGCACGGAGTCCTGGAAGTCCTGCACCGCCTGCGGGTGCGTTGGCAGGAGCAACAAAACAGCGTTGCAGCGGTATGACCACCGTGGCTAGATTCGAAAGAAGAGATGCCGTGTTTATCCCTGTTGGGCTTTTTATGCAGGAAGCGAGTCTGGTGGTCCTTGGGCACTTACTCTCTTCCGAGGGTATGACGATATCATGCAACGCTACTACCAAACTTGATGCTGTGATGCAGCGGTATGACCACCGTGGCTAGATTCGAAAGAAGAGATGCCGTGTCTATCCCTGTTGGGCTTTTTATGCAGGAAGCGAGTCTGGTGGTCCTTGGGCACTTACTCTCTTGCGAGGGTATGACGATATCATGCAACGCTACTACCAAACTTGATGCTGTGATGTGAACAGAGCAAGCGGGCGCGAGGGTTTAGCTGTGCGACAAGTGCAGAGCGCCTAGTGTCGGTGTTGTCGACCAGTGAGACGGAGTACTTGCCTTCATGTCCGGCTCGAGATGGCGCGCCCGCTCCCGAGCGTCCCAGAAGATGTCCTCCAGGGTGAAGGAGTCGTTCTCCAGGCATTCCTCCTGGACGAGCACGAGACCAAGCGGGACGACGGCCTCGCGAACGATCCCGTGCAGTGTAGCGTGAGCAGCGGCGATGGCTGTGATGACCTTGTCTGGAACGGCAGGACAAGAAAAGATATGTCGAACAAAGAACAAGGGTGAAAAGTTCACGTGAAGGCGTCGAAAGGCATCACCGGCAAAAACTGTGCCCACGAAAACAATGATGTGCTGAGCGGTTGGCCACGACGGGCTCCACAAGCATGTTAATTGGGCTGCCATATGTTCCACGAAAGGGCGGGCCGTGTGCGTCCGACGGTTTGCATGACAAGGCTTCAGTTAAACGCTTGGCGCGGTGCGCGGTGCGCGCCGCGCGTGCAGCTTGTAGACCGGCAACACAAACGTAGGCGAACAAGAAAACACGCTATTGTTGTTGTTGTTTCTCACATTAGCTCTATAGTCCACAAAAAATGGGGAGCCCGTGGTCTCAAAACCCGGAACATACGACGCCGCGGGGAAACAAAACAAAAAAGAGTACAAACCACTCGGAGCAAGAAGACAAAATGATAGAAAGAAAAGAACAGGTATCGCACCGACCGTTCGAGAAAAGAGCCCTCGGAAACCGATCAAAATAAAACAAAAACAAAAATATAGGAGGACGCTTCTAACACCCGCCAAAAGAAAAAATCAAAGGGAAACGTACCAGCACCAGGCACTACGCACCAGGGCATGGGAGTAACAGAGCAAACAGGACAAAGAGGCGGCAGATGGGCAGACAGCCAGACGTACAAAAAACAAAGGCAACAGCCAACCGAGATCAAGGTACCCAACACAGCAGAGTAGGCAGGGAGGTCATGAAGAAAAGAAACACAGCACAGAGGCCGAAGGCAATACAAGGGGCACACATGAAGGAGTATAGCATACAGCAGGGAGGGAAACACGGCGCAATAACACCAGCCGGGTACATAGTTCGCCACAAGTGCTGCCTCGGCCGCCCTACTCGCTTCTACAGCAGTGCCCGGTCGCCGTTTCTTCCCCCCCACCGCCGCTTCCCCGACTCTCTTT